GTAATTGGGCATCATTTGGATCAATGTGCACACGGTATCATATTTTCCATCCAAGGCTCTTAGAATCTTCTTGATGATGAATCTGTCGGTCATCTCTTCACTTCCTAAGCCGGCAATCTCATTTGTGATGAGAGCAAGCCTAGAGTACATTTCAGCGACACCTTCACCATCCTTCATCTTGAACTTGTCAAGTTGGCTTTGAAGCACATCCAACTTGGATTCCTTGACGGAGTCGATACCTTCGTGCATATCAATCAAAGTGTCCCAAATTTCCTTTGCATTCTCAAGACGGCTGATTTTGTTGAATTCTTTGGGGCACAATCCGTTGAAGAGAATATCACAAGCTTGAGCATTGTATTGCACATCTTCAACTCATCCGCGGTAGCTTCACGGTTTGGTTCTCTCCCATCAAAGAAGTCACCTTGCAAGCCAACACATACAATAGCCCAAACGGCGGGGTTATGTCCAAGAATATGCATTTTCATTTTATGCTTCCAACTAGCAAAGTTAGTCTCAAAGTAAGGACCTCTACGGTGATAATTTCCCTCGCTAGACGCCATACTCTCCTAGGTTGTGAAACCAAGGCTATGACCACCAAAAGCTATGGAGATCAAGCAAATGGAGACCAAAGCTCTGATACCACTTGTAGGATCGAAAGTATGTCTAGAGGGGGGTGATTAGACTACTTGACCAAATAAAAACTTGACCTTTTCCCAATTTTAGTTCTTGGCAGATTTTAGCTATTTTAGGACAAGTCAAGCAATCATCACACAATTCAAGCAAGCATGCAAAGAGTATATTGGCAGCGGAAAGTAAGGCATGCAACTTGCAAGAATGTAAAGGGAAGGGTTTGGAGAATTCAAACGCAATTGGAGACACGGATGTTTTTCCCATGGTTCGGATAGGTGGTGCTATCCTACATCCACGTTGATGGAGACTTCAACCCATGAAGGGTAACAGTTGCGCGAGTCCACACAGGGCTCCACCCAAGGGTAACGGTTGCGCGAGTCCACACAGGGCTCCACCCATGAAGGGTCCACAAAGAAGCAACCACCCACAAAGGGTCCACGAAGAAGCAACCTTGTCTATCCCACCATGGCCATCGCCCACACAGGACTTGCCTCACTAGCGGTAGATCTTCACGAAGTAGGCGATCTCCTTGCCCTTACAAACTCCTTGGTTCAACTCCACAATCTTGTCGGAGGCTCCCAAGTGACACCTAGCCAATCTAGGAGACACCACTCTCCAAGAAGTAACAAATGGTGTGGAGGTAATGAACTCCTTGCTCTTGTGCTTCAAATGATAGTCTCCCAAACACTCAACTCTCTCTCATAGGATTTGGATTTGGTGGAAAGAAGATTTGAGTGGAAAGCAACTTGGGAAGGCTAGAGATCAAGATTCATATGGTAGGAATGGAATATCTTGGTCTCAACACATGAGTAGGTGGTTCTCTCTCAGAACACATGAGTTGGAATGGTGTGTGTGTTCTGATGGCTCTCTCGCGGAATGAGAAGGAGGTGGAGGGGTATATATAGCCTCCACACAAAATCCAACCGTTACACAGTTTTCCAGTCTCGGTGGGACCGAATCAATAAGCTCGGTCGGACCGAAAATGTAAACCTAGTGACCGTTAGTGATTTTCGGTGGGACTAACATGCAACTCGGTAGGACCGATATGGTTAGGGTTTGGGCATAACGTAATCTCGGTGAGACCGATTACACAAACTCGGTGAGACCGAATTTGGTAATTAGCTAACCAGAGAGTTGGTCAGGCAAACTCGGTGGGACCGATTTAGTCTTTCAATGAGACCGAGTGGAACTCGGTGAGACCGAAAAGTTACAAAAGGGAAACACTGAGTTTACATTGCAATCTCGGTGGGACCGATTCGCTCTTTGAGTGAGACCGAAAAGTTACGAAAGGGAAACAGAGAGTTTGCAACCCCATCTCGGTGAGACCGAGATCCCTATCGGTAGGACCGAATTGCTAGGGTTTGGCAGTGGCTTATGACAAATGAAACTCGGTGGCGCCGGATAGGAAGAATCGGTAGGACCGAGTTTGGCTTAGGGTTTAGGTCATATGTGGATATGGGAAAGTAGTTGAGGGTTTTTGGAGCATATCATTAAGCACATGAAGCAAGAGGCTCATTAAGCAACACCTCATCCCTCCTTGATAGTATTGGCTTTTCCTAAAGACTCAATGTGATCTTGGATCACTAAAATATAAAATGAAGAGTCTTGAGCTTTTGAGCTTGAGCCAATCCTTTGTCCTTAGCATTTTGAGGGTTCCACTTTCACATCCATGCCATGCCAATCATTGAGCTTTCCTGAAATAATCATCTTGGAATAGCATTAGCTCAATGAGCTATATGTTGTTATGAATTACCAAAACCACCTAGGGATAGTTGCACTTTCACCACTGCGATGCAGCGCCGAGACTCACCGGGGGGCTGCACCATGGTAGCTTCGACGGCTGAAAAAAAAGCTTCAATGCAACAACGATGACACCCCGACGAAGCTCCACTGCAGCTCCATGGCCGCACCGTCGGTGACCGGTGAAGATCCATTGCAACTCCGACGGAGCTCCATTGCAGCCGCGACGGGGCTCCAACGACCCCGGCAGCGCTCCATTACAATTCCGACGAAGCTCCATTGCAACCGCGGCGAAGCTCCAATGACCCGGACAATGCTCCATTGCAGCTCTGGTGGAACTCCGTTGTAGACGCAACGAAGCTCCCAACAATTCCGGCCGTCCGACGATGCTCCATTCTAGTCTTCGATGGCTCCGGCGATGCTCCTGTTGTATCTCTATCTCGTATCAATGAACCCGGCGACGCTTCATTGGATCTTCAGGAGTGCCTTGTGGGTGAATCGAAAAGAGGCAGGGAGAGACGAGGGCGTGGGGAATAAGAGCATCTCCAGCCGTTGGCCCCCAGGAGGCGCTAAAAATCGCCCCTGGGGGCGCACCAGCGAAAACCGCGTGCTGGGGGCGTGATACCCCCCCAGTCGCGGCGCCCACAATTTATTTGAAAACCACAAACTAGGCGCAAATTCATCAAAACTTCGACGAGTTCATACATATTTAAAATATTTTACAAAAAAAACGCTACTAGGCTCGCCGCCGCCCTCGCCGCTCCTCGCCGCCCGCCGCCCTTGAAGCTCTACATGCCGAGGAGCCTGTAGAACTGCGTGTAGTCGCTGCCGTCGTCGTCGTCGCCTCCTCCGCGGCCGCCGTCCCTGCTGCACCCCTCCTTAGGTTGGCGCGGTGGGTTGGACGGTCCGGGGGCGTCCTCGTCCTCGTCGCTGTCGAGGATCACCACGCCGCGCTCGTCTCGCGCCCACGCTTGCGGGCGGTTATCTCCTCCAGGGCTCGGCGCTGCCGGACCATCTCATCGCGGAGGTAGTCGTCCCACGCCCACTTTAGGGCCTCCTCATCGGAGAAGCCGCGTTGGACTATGGCCTCGTACTCCGTGGGGAGGCCGGGCTCCGCCTTCGGCCTGACGAGGACAAGGCGGCCAGAGGTGGGGGAGGAGTCGGTGATGGAGACGCCGGAGCTGCGGGTGCGGTGGCTGACCGGCATATCCTGGGGCTCCGACTTGACGTGGCGGAGGCAGGGAGAGCTAGTCGAGCGGCCGGACGAGGAGGAGGACGCCCCCGGGTCCATGCGCCTCGGCGTCCACGAGCTCCCACGCCGGCGGGAGAAGGACGGGGGAGCGGGGTACTCCAGCCTGGGCGTGTTGCCGCCCTCGATGTACTCGAGGACGGCCTCCAGCGTGCGGCTAGGCACGCCCCACCTTCGGTTGCGGCCTTCGGAGTTGAGCCTCCCGGAGGGCACGACGCCGTTGGTGGCCTCGAGCTGCTCGGCGTGGCGGCGGCGGAAGTGGGGCTCCCATAGCGGGTTGTCGGGGACGTACCGTGGGCCTTCCCTCGCCGCCTGCGGCAGAGAGGCGCGGATACATGCGATCTCCGCATGCCGCACCGCTCCGGTGGGCGGTGGTGGCACCGGGAACCCGCCGGCGCTGATCCTCCACGCCCCGGGCACCCGCATGTCCGGCAGGACCGGGTACTCGGCTTCATAGAGGAGCCGAGTTTCGTCCTCGTGGAGGTGGCGGCGGCTGAAGCCGTTCGCCGCCGCGCCGTCGCTTGGGAAACGCTCGGCCATGGTTGAACTGGAACGACGAGAGGAGAGGGAGGGACGGGAAAGGAACGGGGCGTCGGCGGTGGAGAGTCTGTGCGTCACCGGCGCGCTCGGGGCGGCTTATATAGGCGGAGGCACCGCGCGTACGCGTGGCCGCCGTGTTACGCGTGGCGGGTGAGGGACGCGCGTCGTCCGGTCTTCACTGCGCCGGCCATGAGGCATCAATGGAGGAGGCTGACCAGCGCGGCAGCGCGCGGCAGCTTTGGCATTGATTCGCCGAGGGAACCGAGGCGATGAGGACGACAAAGTGGCGAGAAGAGCCGAGTCGCTGCCAAGGAGGGCCCGCCGACTTTCGCTCCAAAATTGATTCGGCCGGCGCTCCCAAGCGCCCCCAGCGCGCTGGGTTCGGCCTAGGTCCGCCGGCATCAATTTCAGCCCGAACCGATGAAAAAAGGGTCTTTGAGGGTGCGACTAGACCGATTTTTCGACACCGACGACCTAAATATCGCCTGGAGGGTTTTGTTGAGGACGCAGCCGGAGATGCTATAAGGTTTTAGAAGAGAAAGGGAAAAGCAGTCGTGGACCCACAGGACCCGTGGCACACGGAGGAGGCGGTTGATTCCAGCGAGCGACGTGATCAGCCGGTTTAAACACAAGAGTTTTCCTAACCGAAAAGAGAAAATTGGTCCAGCGAACGCAGAGCGGATACCAACCAGGTGAGCCATCAAAGCCGCCTCTCTTCCCCTAAAACCTAGCCCGCAAATCCTAATCCAGCCCACGCGCCTCCCCCCAAACCCTCGTCCCCAAGCTCGCGAACCTCACCGCCGCCCGCACAGCCACCGGCCGCTCCGCGCGACCGCCCACCATGGCTCGTAACGAGGAGAAGGCGCAGTCCATGCTGAACCGCTTCATCACGATGAAGCAGGAGGAGAAGCGCAAGCCCCGCGAGCGCCGGCCGTACCTCGCCTCCGAGTGCCGGGACCTCGCCGACGCCGACCGCTGGCGTGGAGAGATCCTGCGCGAGATCGGCGTCAAGGTCGCCGAGATCCAGAACGAGGGCCTCGGGGAGCACCGCCTCCGAGACCTCAACGACGAGATCAACAAGCTCCTCCGCGAGCGCAGCCACTGGGAGCGCCGCATCCTCGAGCTCGGAGGCCGCGACTACTCTCGCAGCTCCAACGCCGCCCTCATGACCGACCTCGACGGTAACATCGTCGCCATCCCCAACCCCTCCGGCCGGGGCCCAGGCTACCGCTACTTTGGCGCTGCCAAGAAGCTCCCCGGCGTCCGTGAGCTATTTGATAAGCCACCTGAGGTCCGCAAGCGCCGCACCCGCTACGAGATCCACAAGCGCATCAATGCCGGGTACTATGGATACTATGACGACGAGGACGGTGTGCTTGAGCCCCTTGAGGCTGCTGCCGAGAAGCGCATGCGGGACGAGGTTGTCACGGAGTGGCACCGGGTGGAGCGTGTGCGGCGGGAGGCCATGAAGAATGTGGTGAGTGGCGAGGTGGCTGCAGCAGGTGGGCGTGGTGGGGAAGCTGCTACGGAGGTGCTGTTCGAGGAGGTGGAGGAGGAGGTTGAGGAGGAGAGGAGGCTGGAGGAAGAGAGGATGGAAAGAGAGAAGGGGGAAGAGGCTGGGAGGGAGTTTGTGGCACATGTGCCGCTCCCTGACGAGAAGGAGATTGAGCGGATGGTGCTAGAGCAGAAGAAGAAAGAGCTGCTCAGCAAGTACACAAGTGATACCCTGCAAGGCGAGCAGAAGGAGGCTAAGGAGATGCTCAATGTCCAACGCTAGGAGAGATGTATGCTCTTGTTTATCTTGGCTCTAGTAGATTACTTAACTGGTGTAGACTAGGCATGCATCCAAAATACCACACCATAAAGACTGCTCTACTGATTTTTTGTTGCCCTGTAATTTGTGTGCGCCATTTACTCTTTAGTACCTTCATGCTGCGAATGATTTAATTTTATGATGCAGAGCCTGTGTTCATGAGGGGAGCCTTGGCGTAGTGGTAAAGCTGCTGCCTTGTGACCATGAGGTCACGGGTTCAAGTCCTGGAAACAGCCTCTTACAGAAATGTAGGGAAAGGCTGCGTACAATAGACCCAAAGTGGTCGGACCCTTTCCCAGACCCTGCACAAGCGGGAGCTGCATGCACTGGGGCTGCCCTTTTTTAGAGCCTGTGTTCAGTCTTGCAATATGTGAATTATCATTTGCATTGTACCATTGATTGTGTGCTTTGTTTGAATTTTGAAAGTTGTGCTCATAGTCATGGTATCAACAGTGAAATACTCTGCTCGAGCCTGAGTTAAATATGTATACGGTCAGGTGTTTTGGCCTTAGGTTCGTATACTGCTCATGCGGTTCACTGCCTCTGATTAGTTTTGTTCACAAATCTTATTTGAACCTGATGCTCCAAATAAGCAATTTATATGCTGAAATACTGAGTTTAGGCAATAAATTGATACGTCAAATTCATATATGTTGACCATATAAGCGCTGAGTGGCGCAGTATCTTATTTCATTACTTTGCCGTAGTTCATTTAGTTAACGTCGCTGCAGCTGTTTTGTATTTTCTGCTGATGAGTTGGTATACACATTGAGTAAGCATTTTGTGCTTCTTGGAAAACCTTTTAAAATCGACAAGAGTATTGTTTGAGTTGATGATTCTTTCAAATGTCCTTTTGACCTACCAAGTTAGATACAGAGGCATAATGCCTTATTGGTGCTGACAACAAGGTGCCTTCTTTTGGGTTACAGTTCAACTGTATATCCGTAGTTCTGTACCAGTGATGGGTTTTAGTTAGTTATTTGATAGAAAACATCTTGCAAGTAGGAAATCATGCTGGTCGGGTGAGTTAACTGACAAGCAGATACTTAGTTTCTTTTTCAGAAACTAATGTGTCTGCTTTGTTCATTTCTTCATCAAACATTTGGTAAAGCAAGTCAGATTTGGTTACACATTCAAAAAATATGCGATTTAGTTCAGAGTTTTTTTGTGCTTATGTCTGATTAGTGATTCCGTTTCTAGAATATTCCTTGTCAACCGAAGCACCTCATTCGCTGTGGGGTGTGTTATGTGTAGGCTGGAACGTGGTCTTGTATATTCGGTTCGTGTTTATTTAATGATGTGGTTTAATTTTATGAGGCAAAGCTGTGTTCTGTCTTGCAATATATAAATTATCATTTGCATTGTATTGTATCATTTTTTTGCGGGTATTCTATTGTATTGTATTGTATCATTGATTGTGTGCCCATTTACTCTTAGAACCTTCATGCTGCGAATGGTTTAATTTTATGAGGCAAAGCCTGTGTTCTGTCTTGCAATATGCGAATTATTATCATTTACATTGTATTGTATCATTGATTGTGTGTTTTGTTTGAATTTTGAAAGTTGTGCTCCTAGGCATTGTATCAACAGTGAAATACTCTACTGGAGCCTGAGTTAAATATGTATATGGTCGGGTGTTTTGGCCTTAGGCGTGTCTATTGCTCATGCAATTCACTGCCTCTGATTAGTTTTGTTCATAAATCTTGTTTGAACCTGATGCTCCAAATAAGCAATTTATATGCTGAAATGTTGACTTTAGGCAATAAATTGATACATGGAATTCCCATACGTTGACCATATCGCTGCTAAATAGTTAACATATAAATTGATACATGGAATTCCCATACGTTTGACCATATCATTAGTTGCCGTAGTTCATTTAGTTAAAGTCGCTGCAGCTATTTTGTATTTTCTGGAGATGATCTGTCATACACATCGAGTGAGCATTTTGTGCTTCTTTGAATACCTTTTAAAATCTGGAAGAGTATTGTTTGAAGTTGATGATTCTTTTGAATGTCCTTTCTACCTACCAAGTTAGATACAGAGGGATAACGCCTTATTGGTGCTGACCACAAGATGCTTTCTTCGGGGTTACAGTTGAACTGCATATCTGTAGTTCTGTACTAATGACGGATTTTAGTTATTTATTTGATATGGAAAACATTTTGCAAGCAGGAAATCATGCTGGTCGGGTGAGTTAACTGAGCAGCAGATATACCTAGTTTCTTTTTCAGCAACTAATGTGTCTGCTTCGTTCATTTCCTCGTCAAACATCTTGTAAAGCAAGTCAGATTTGGGGATACATGAAAAAAATTACTACCTCTGTTTCAAAATATAAGACGTTTTTGTACGCTAAACTAGTCTAAAAAACATCTTATACTTTAATACGGAAGGAGTATGTGATTCAGTTTAGAATTTTTGCGCTTATGGTCTCTGATTAGTGATTCCATTTCTAGAATATTCGTTGCCAACTGAAGCACCTCATTTGCTGTGGCAACACCTCATTTCATCATATCTTAACCTATTTCCCCCCTTCCTGTTAGGTTGGTCATTGCTGAATCCTTCACGGTATTGAGATGAGTGAAGTGCGAGGAGCAATATGTGCAGTGCTGGACAAGCGTTGACGCAACCCTAGAAGATCTGATGCTAAAAACACTGAAGGGCTTCGCTGCAATCATGTTGATCGATGTGATGTTTATTACCCTAGAATGATTGATGCCAAATGGGTAAACCTGAGATAGTGGTGGTGAACCGTCACTGTGCATGGATGTGCTGTATTCACTGGCACTCTACAAGTACATCCATTGGCTACGCATATATCTAAAAAACTACTAGACCATAATGAAAGCAATTCTGAACACTCGAAGGATGTTAACCATCTATCTTACTACAGCAGAGATTTTAAGAAGGTCAATGCCCCTTTTATCTGGTTAACATGATCGGTACAAATTTGGCTGAGAATTGCTACCGAAACGAATAGGCAGATACGTAAGGGTGCGTTGGCTGGGAACAATGTGGAGTGGAATGCCATGGTTGATTGCATCATGGCTGGGAACAATGTGGAGTGGAATGCCATGGTTGATTGCATCATTCGAAGATCTACAATACATGGAAGTAACAAATCTGCATCATATTGCCGGGACTTTCCCTTTCCCTGGGAGAGCTGGCTACAACATTTAACTTCAAACTTTAACCTCACACACAACAAAGAAAGAGAGCGAGTATTCCCTCCATTCATAAATATAAGATGTTTTGAATATTTCAATATGAACTACATACATACTGAAATGAGTGAACAAACACACTAGAACATGTCTATATACATTTGATTCGGAAAAAAAGTTACTCCTGCCGACCCATATTAATTGACGTACACTTAGTATAAAGCTGTACAAAGTGTGCGTCAATTAATATGGATAGGAAGGAGTAGAGCATTTTATATTTGTGAATGGAGAGAGTAGAATATATGATGGAAGAAATAACGTTCATAAAAAATAAATCAGTAGCAGATAAAAAACATAAACGGGCCAACAAGAACTTGTAGTATCGAACAACCGCATTTGACATTGCCAACTTACGGCATCTACCCTCGCAAAAAGAGAAGAAGAGGGAAGTCACCTAAACTAGCCACCAACAGTAAACAGTTATATATCAAAGCTGTTCCTCTCCAAATGCTGCGAGTCCATCAACTGCCGTGCAAGTACAAAAGAGCATGACGAAGTAGTTATATATCAAAACCGTTCCTCTCAAATGCGGCACGTCCATCAACTGCCATGCAACTACAAAAGAGCATGGCGAAGTACAAATTTCCAACATAGTTCTTGTGTGCCGAAAACTATCCATCTACCAGGCTATTAACGCTTGTGCTACAAGCGAACTTGTCAAAACTTGTGCTTTTCTGAGATTGTGATCATATCAAAATCCACCTGATTTCTTTTGTAGAATTTCCTCAAATCTGGTTTCTGAGATTGTGATCATATCAAAATCCACCTGATTTCTTTTGTAGAATTTCCTCAAATCTGGTTTCTGAGACTGACAACATCTGGTTCAGAATCAACCTCACCCCACAACCAGTCATCTGAGCATACCGAGGTTTTATCCTCTGCTCTAAACTGTACCCAAAGTACTGTGGAAATTTCACGAGTTCATACCTTGGGTACCCCATCGTCAGAAAATATTCATATTTGGGAATCAAATTTTCTTGCAAGCTGAGAGTGTGAATAATCCCAAATCTATTTACCATAATGCCAATTTCCTCGATGCTGAACTCTCTCTCCAGGAAAAACTCTGTGATTGGCTTCAGCTTTGACTCTATGTTCAAACCAAAAGCCTGGGGACATTTCTGAATAAGAGATGCAGCATCTGCGCCGATCGACCGGAAGTAGTCAGCAGTTGGTCTGAGGTTGTCATTGACACTGTAGCTCATGAGATGAGGACATCGTGTGAGAATCTTGCCGATGTTTTCCTTAGAAACTCCTAGTTCAGTAAGGTAGCTCACAGTTATCTCCACCTTCTGCCTGCTATATGTGAGAAATGCAGGGAACCGGCATATCACCTTGCTCCACTGAGTTTTGTTGACACCAATATTCTCCATATAGGCCATCATAGGTTTCAGATTATCTGTCAAGCTGATTCCACATAGCTGAGGCCTCTTCCTGATGATTCCAGGTATGCCTGACCTCGGCACACCAAGCTCAAGCAGTAGCTCCACCAGGGGCTTTATCTTGCGATCCACGTTGTAGTACGCAAATGCTGGGAACTTGCGCACGACATTCTTGATCTCCTCATGATCCATGCCATAGTCCAGCAGGTAGAGCACTAACTCCGGGAGGGCTCCCCCTGAGGTTGGTGTGCTTACTCGAGCAATTGCCTTCTGCTTATTTGAGCTCGTTGGTGTAAGTATCATTGAGTAAGACAAGGACTCCCTTTCCGCGGAAAAAGGATCAGGGAAATTCTCCACCACTTCAACCAAACTATCCCCATGTTCTTTAGAAAGAGCTTCTAGATAGGGAAGGAGAGCATCTCTGATCTCAGGTGTACTCAGCTCCCTTCCTGAAAAATAAATATGCTGTGAAATGTTCAGAACCTATAAGGTACAAAGTTTATAGATAGTAACTTCAAGATGCGAACCTTCAGCATATCGAGATCTGTAAGCACTTTGGAGCTTTGAACTCAGGTGCTCAATGAATCCATCTGATTTGTTGGCGATCCGTGCAGCTACCGCACTTCTCAAACCTTTCTGCCTTAAGAACAGCGATAGCACAGCTTTCGCTTCCTCTCTTTCTGCAGCAAGCAACCTTGAGAGAGCAGTTGTGGAGCTTTGGGCACTGGCCACCAGTAAATCATCAGCATCTGCAACATAGTTGATGTGGACCATAAATATAACTTGCGTATGCGACATACTCCCATGGAGGAGATTTTTTAAGAAGAGATAAACAGATAACCTCACATGATTGTGCATTGCAAATGGGATGTTGTCTGGAAATGAGAGTGTAAAGCCTGTATAAACAGAAGACCGCTATTAGTAATGTTGGAGCCAGTAACTAATGAAATACGGTATGGAAATCTTAAGTAGATGTTTGGTGGATTATCCTTTCAACGTCTCTGGTTCTTACTTCTGTTAAATCAAAAAGAAGCAGTACAGTGCCCAGTTACCAATGATTGAGCTCCTTCCCAGGTAGTACACGAGTTTACATACAAATCCATGTTTTGAAAAAGTTTACATATACTATTATAGACGATGCCGCACAATTATCTTTTTCGCATTTATTGAGGCAATTCAAATCGGAGACCAGTAAACTGAATCTATTACTAATATTCTTATACAAATCTCGACTAAGATTTGCACCGATCCTCTCAAATTGCAGGGCATCCATCATACCGTATAATCACGAGGAAACATCGGACAAGCTCCAATCCCTACTGAATTAATACTACGATACTAGTACAGGCAGTAATGGAACCAATGCCATTAAGAGCGAGCGAGGAAGCGCGCCTACCTGCAGGAGGAGGGGGAGAGGACGAGCCTCCACGGCGGAAGCAGCCGGCCACGGTGTTCGGACGGGGTCAGGTGGAGGCTGAGGCGCGGGGCCGCCTGCAGGCTCGTCATCGCCGCCGGCCGGCCGGGGAGTGGAGCGCCCGCGGAGAGGGGTGGAGGGGATGAAGGAAGAGTAACAGGAGGTGAGGGGCTGAAGCTGTTTGGGACTTTGGAGCTGGGTTTTATCTTGTTCCACAAACAAACACCCGAAACTGAAATATCTCCAATTTCGTAGACCCCGTTAAAAAATGAGATAAATTTAAGGGTGTTTCTAGGAAATGGCTCTCGGAAACCCAATTGTACATTACGAAAGTGAAAATTTGAAATTACTTCGCCAACAACCGCACTAGTAATATTTTTTTAGAAACTTCTAGTCTAATCATCGTATGTCATGACAGTACAAAGAATATCGGAAATAACAAAAAATACAATCAGGTTTGTGGACAAGCTAGCGACAACTACAAGTACTGAGCGAGCCAACGGCGTGCCGCCGTCACCGCCCTCCCTCGTCGGAGTCGGGCAAAACTTGTTAGTAGAAAGTCGAGGAATCATCATGTTAAAGCCTTAATAGGTCAGCGCACCAGAACAACAACCGTCACCGATTAAGAAAAGAGTAGGTTGAAATACTCAAACATGTAGACATATGACCGAAGACGAATAAAGACCGGATCCTAACAGATCCATCGAACCGAATCCCGCGAGATTCGACGAAGACACGCCATCACACATTCTCTGACGACGCTAGATGCACCATCAGAAAGGGGATCGAAAGTGGGAGACATTGTTCCTACTAGGGGACTTTGCCAAAGCCACACAACCCTACCCGAGACGCCGAAACAAACAAGAATGATAGCAGGGTCCCTCCCGTCGGTGAGGGGCGATGACGGTGTAATACACTGAGGGTGTCCTCTCGGTGGGAAGCATGGCAGCAGGCCCGTCTCGCAGAGGTCCAATGTAAAGGGCAGCCCGGAGGCCCGAATGGATATTAGGAGATGCCAAGATGGAGACGGCATAAGATCGATCGAACCCCATGTAAACCCTAGCCCTCATCGTCTATATAAATTGGGGCTCAGGGTAGCCATTCCCATCTACAACATAGACTATACACTCGGTAGCCATATACTTCCTCACCACTGTAACCCCCTCGCATAAGGTGCTCCACCATTACTCATATAAAGGATGTTGTAGTACCCGCCTCCTAGGGGCCTTCGCGGGCAAGAGTGCCCTTTGAACCATCTGTTTCCAGGTGGCGTGCCACGGGGGGCTGTCGGTGTCAAAATCGGCGGATCTCGGGTAGGAGGTCCCGAACTATGCATCTAGGCGGATGGTAACAGGAGGCAGGGGACACGATGTTTTACCCAGGTTCGGGCCCTCTTGATGGAGGTAAAACCCTACGTCCTGCTTGATTTATTCTTCATGATATGAGTATTACAAGAGTTGATCTACCACGAGATCGGAGAGGCTAAACCCTAGAAGCTAGCCTATGGTATGATTGTATGTTATTGTGTCCTATGGACTAAAACCCTCCGGTTTATATAGACACCAGAGGGGGCTAGGGTTACACAAGGTCGGTTACAAAGGAGGAGATATACACATCCGTATTGCCTAGCTTGCCTTCCACGCCAAGTAGAGTCCCATTCGGACACGAGACGAAGTCTTCAATCTTGTATCTTCATAGTCCAACAGTCTGGTCAAAGGATATAATCCGGCTGTCCGGATACCCCCTAATCCAGGACTCCCTCAGTAGCCCCCGAACCAGGCTTCAATGACGATGAGTCTGGCACGCAGTATTGTCTTCGGCATTGCAAGGCGAGTTCTTCTCCATCTTTCAAACATTTGTAAAGCAGTGTCCGGTCCCATAAATGTTTGGACCTCTTGGCTTCTATGCCCAATAAGGGCTTTCTCCCACACGTCGAATGAATGCGAGGCGCTAGGGCGTTTTTATATTCGCCCCCCTAGCCAGATAAATAAATTGTCTATTAAAGGGATGGGGATCCTTAGATCCGATCCATACCATCCTCCCCCAGCGAGAGTCCATCGGAGCGCGTTCCGGAAAGATCCATTCCAGCATGGCCGACCTCCGCAGCTCCTCCTCCCGCCCCCGAAGCCCTAAGCCCGGTGATTGGGAGAGGTGTTCAGTCCCACACAGTCGTTTAGTCGAACTGCAGACTAAGGGATTTCTCCCTCCGGCGTACATGGTGCCCGTTCGAGCCGGGCTTGCCACCTATAATGGCGGGGAGCAAGCGGAGAGCTTTCCCGCTCCCTCTATGGGGGAACGGGTCTGCCTTGTTCCCTATCTATTAAGGGGACTCAGATTTCCAATTCATTCATTCCTCCACGGGCTCCTGGAGTTCTACGGCCTCTAATTACACAATTTCACCCCGCCTCCATCCTACATATCGCCAGCTATGTGGCTCTCTGCGAGTTGTTCCTGGGCTGCGAGGCTCACTTCGAGTTGTGGAAAAGGCTATTTTGCCTCGTCCCTCGCACACAGAGGGGATTACTTTATCAAGTGGGTGGAGCCGAAATATGGCACATCGCCGATACCAGATACCTGTCTGGTACCCCGAAGAAGTCGTCCGAAGACTGGCCTTCAGAATGGTTTTATATGGAGGATGTTCCCCTTCCGGACCCTGTTCGGTGGGGTCTTCGTGAGTTCAACAATGCTCCTCTGAAGAAACGCCGAAGTTGGCGCCCATGGAGCCCCCAGGTGGAAGACAATGGAGAAGTCCTCTATCTGATGAACCGAATTAAAGCACTGGCTCGATCAGGATTGACAGTAATCGAAGTTATGTCGATTTGCATAATGTGGGGAGTGCAACCACTTCAATATCGTGGGCACCCCTTGTGGTGTTATAACGGGGCGGATGACGCCACCCGCTGCGGGCGTAAGGGTCCGGACAATGCTGCCGCTTTAGAGAAAATTCTGTCCGAATTGTTCAAGGGTGAGGAAGAGGAGTTCACCCGCATCAAGCCACGGGATGGATTCTCCATGTATAATCCTCCAAGTTGGGTAAGTTATATCTCCCTGCTCCCATTTTTCCCGCATTCTTTGTCGTAAGTGTTCACCTTGCCACTTTGCGGTAGGAACTGCGAAAAGCCATAAAGGAGGTCAGCAGCCCTTCCCCACAACCAGAGGACCCTGACCAGGCCCTCGACTCCGGACTTGAAGAAGATTCGGTTATATTCGTGGAGCTGATGTTGGGGAACGTAGTAATTTCAAAAAAATTCCTACGCACACGCAAGATCATGGTGATGCATAGCAATGAGAGGAGAGTGTGATCTACATACCCTTGTAGACCGACAGCGGAAGCGTTATGACAACACGGTTGATGTAGTCGTACGTCTTCATGGCCCGACCGATCAAGCACCGAAACTACGGCACCTCCGAGTTCTAGCACACGTTCAGCTCGATGACGATCCCCGGACTCCGATCCAGCAAAGTGTCGGGGAAGAGTTCCGTCAGCACGACGGCGTGGTGACAATCTTGATGTTCAACTGTCGCAGGGCTTCGCCTAAGCACCACTACAATATTATCGAGGTATATGGTGGAAGGGGGCACCGCACACGGCTAAGAATATGATCACGTGGATCAACTTGTGTGTCTATGGGGTGCCCCCTGCCCCCGTATATAAAGGAGTGGAGGAGGGGAGGGCCGGCCATCTCTATGGCGCGCCCTAGGGGAGTCCTACTCCCACCGGGAGTAGGATTCCCCCTTTCCTAGTCCAACTAGGAGTCCTTCCATGTAGTAGGAGTAGGAGACAAGGAAGGGGAAGAGGGAAGAGAAGGGAGGAGGGGGCGCAACCCCTTCCCCTAGTCCAATTCGGACTAGGCCTTGGTGGGGGGGGGGGGCGCGGCCTGCCTCTCCCTCTCCCTTAAAGCCCAATAAGACTTCTTCTCCCGTATTCCCGTAACTCCCCGGTACTCCGAAAAATACCCGAACCACTCGGAACCTTTCTGATGTCCGAATATAGTCGTACAATATATCGATCTTTACGTCTCGACCATTTTGAGACTCCTCGTCATGTCCCCGATCTCATCCGGGACTCCGAACTCCTTCGATACATCAAAACTCATAATATAACTGTCATCGAAACCTTAAGCGTGCGGACCCTACGGGTTCGAGAACAATGTAGACATGACCGAGACACGTCTCCGGTCAATAACCAATAGCGGAACCTGGATGCTCATATTGGCTCCTACATATTCTATGAAGATCTTTACCGGTCAGACCGCATAACAACATACGTTGTTCCCTTTGTCATCGGTATGTTACTTGCCCAAGATTCGATCGTCGGTATCTCAATACCTAGTTCAATCTCGTTACCGCAAGTCTCTTTACTCGTTTCGTAATACATCATCTCGCAACTAACTCATTAGTTGCAATGCTTGCAAGGCTTATGTGATGTGCATTACCGAGAGGGCCCAGAGATACCTCTCCGACAATCGGAGTGACAAATCCTAATCTCGAAATACGCCAACCCAACATGTACCTTTGGAGACACCTGTAGAGCTCCTTTATAATCACCCAGTTACGTTGTGATGTTTGGTAGCACACAAAGTGTTCCTCCGGCAAACGGGAGTTGCATAATCTCATAGTCATAGGAACATGTATAAGTCATGAAGAAAGCAATAGCAACATACTAAACGATCGGGTGCTAAGCTAATGGAATGGGTCATGTCAATCACATCATTCTTCTAATGATGTGATCCCGTTAATCAAATAACAACTCTTTTTTTCATGGTTAGGAAACATAACCATCTTCGATTAACGAGCTAGTCAAGTAGAGGCATACTAGTGACACTCTGTTTGTCTATGTATTCACACATGTATTATGTTTCCGGTTACTACAATTCTAGCATGAATAATAAACATTTATCATGATATAAGGAAATAAATAATAACTTTATTATTGCCTCTAGGGCATATTTCCTTCAGTCTCCCACTTGCACTAGAGTTAATAATCTAGTTCACATCGCCATGTGATTCAACACTAATAGTTCACATCACCATGTGATTAACACCCATAGTTCACATTGTCATGTGACCTATACCCAAAGGGTTTACTAGA